GCACACATAAAAAGGTTTCTCATCAAATGCGCCAAAAAAAAACCAAAAAAAAGGTAAAAATTCACTAAGAATTATAAGCAATTAAATAAGTTATTTTTCTCTCTGCTTTACTCCAAATTTTAAGTGTTTGGGTAAAGTGGGTTTTATGCATTTGGCAGGATGGCTGATCCTTGTTTAAGGCAGAATATCTTAAGGTAGAAGAACACTTCTCCTGGATAAGAATCTCCTGCTGCTAAATAGAGACCAGGGTTTGTTGCTTGATGGATCTTGTGCGATAATGACAGCCGGCGGTGCTGTTAGCAGACAGCTCATGCTGAATGGGAGACCTGAGAGTCACACAGAGAGCTGGGCCTCCCGAGCCCAACAACCACAGTCAAAAGTATGACTCTCCTTAAAGAGCTAATCTTGTTTCTGAGTAAGAAAACGCAGTTTTAATTTGTATAATCTCTTGAGAGCTGGTCAGGTTACTGGAAGAGTGATTACTTCTGGGAAACAAGCCCTTCCTTCTCTGCAGAACCAAATGCAGACTTTGGTACTCATCTAATATCATGAGTGTACCCTAGTCCCAGCAGCTTTTTCCAGGTGTTACAGCTGTGGGATTAACAACTAACCTGCTGCACTGCCACCCCTCTGACATTATCTCAAGCGGATTTTAATTTAGGGCAGAAGACTGACAAGAAGCAATGTTGAAAATTTTACCTTAAAAAGTCAGAAACTGCAAAGATGTGGCCTGGAGGTGTAACAATTTGTGCTGTGGCCAGCTCTCCTGCAAGGTGAAAACAGAGGGTCTCATGCCTGCCTGTGAGATGTTCCATCTGGTTCATCCTGACAGGGATTCCTGGGGTCTTACAAACCCACAAGTGCCTCTGCACATGCAGCAGGGGTTTAGGTGGGGGTAGATTCCCAGAGCACTCCAAGATGACACTCCTGTCATTAGTCCACCATTTAACATTTTCACCAGATGACAGGAAGCACTCAGATCTTCCAGAAACATCACCCCAATAGCTACAAACTGAATCCCCTTCTGCATGAGGTGACCAGCTACAGTGATTTTGAAGAGTGTGGTCACACCCTCATCAGTCTGCCTCCTGACACACAGTCCCAGCCTGGTCTTCATTTCCTAAACCACGTGCCTATCACCTCCAGGTGGCACTTATTGTCATGATGGCATATAAATTGAGTTTATGAAGCTCCTTAAAATTCAGGTTGAGACTTTATTCCATATTTCCTGTACTTTGCGTAGCCATTTGAAGCTACAGAAAAAGGACATAAAAAAGAAGAATTTCAGAGAGGCACCATTTTGCAGGTCACCTTGCAGGGTTTTAGGTGCCTTGACAAAGAAGAGGCAATAGCTCAGATACTCCCTTTCCTGTGGTCAGGTGAGCACAGCTTCTTGATATTACATGGACACCCCAGACATCAGCACAGGGTGCCCCAACAGGTGGGATCCTGCTGTAATGTGGAGGCCATATGATGACAGTGATAGCTCAGAGAAAGTGATGCTCCTAATTGCAGCAATTAAACAGTAATGACATAATTAATGCAAAAATTATGCATGGCTCGAATCCAAGCTATTGCAGCGCTAGAGGTATTCATCACACCTAGATGAAAATCATTCCTGTGGAGATGGTATCATGTCTGCTTTTATGATTTGATCAGGGATAATGGTTATGGGGAATTCAGGCAACAGCGACAGCAGTAGAAGCAGCTGATGGGAATTGCAATGAAACACAAAAGGACTTTAAATTTGAATGGACAAATTGAACACTGAAGGTGAAAAGAACTGAAAAAGTCTTGTTACAGCAAGACCCTCCAGATCCATGCCCCAGACCAAAAGATATCTCACAGAGAGAGATGCAAAGACTAGCTTCAGTAGTCAATAATTTTCAAATGGACATCTGGTATTTCCCTTTCCAAGTGCAAGACAATAATGAGGAACAGAAAAGTCAACTGGTTCATTTTTCTCTTGAAAAAGCAACTTTTGATGAAGCATAGGCTTAAAGATCAGCATTGACTCTGCATAATCTACATCCTCCATTTCTAGTCTAGTACATTCATAAATCCCTAATCTGAGAAATTAAATAATTTAAAATGACATGAAATGTGAAGGAATTTCTGTAATATTGCTTAAACCTCAGAAATCAGGTATTCCCAGATAGCTGATAAAAATAGGTGAAAAAATTAGTCTGATGTATTTGCTCCATCCCTGACTCAGTTCTCAGTTCACTCTGCAGTTTGGCTTCTAAATTTTGAAAATTCACTTTGTCATATTTCAAGGTATCTTTCAACAGGGCCATTAGGAGGACATGTTAAAAATATTGCTGATAAGGCCCCATAAATTGCAAAGAAAATATTTTTTTGGTGACATTCTAAGCCAGTTGTGGCAGCCCACAGTCACATCACTCAGATGGCTGTGCCCAGGAACTCGTCCCCACATTTAGGCCAGAAGACAGTTCCTGTGATTGCTGTTTGACTCTGCAGCAAGAGCTGAACTGCAAAACGTAAGAGATCTCCGGCCATGCTGCAGGCTGAGAGCATTGCATGTTTGTTGGTCCAGAAATACTCTGGATTTGCAAAGTTGGACTGAAAACATGGCCAGCCCCAAGGTTTTCCGATACATCCAGCTTGAAATATTACTACATTAAGTGGTAGTTTACTTGAACTGTATTATTTATGCTTCCATACTGGGTATCTTAATGTGGCAATAAATAAAACCAAAACGTTCACTGTGTGTTACCAGACACTTTACTGATTGATCTCCATATGGACAAAGGCATTGGGCTCCAGGAAAAGGGCAGGACTGACCAGTCTCTGAGCTGGAAGTACACAGTGTGTATCAGAAAGCAGAGCTGCTTTCACAGGTTTTGTACTCCGACCCGTAAGCATCCACTTTTAACCAGTCCTTCTGTGCTGAACCCAGAATTCTTTTCTCTGGTTTCTTTCTCTTCTTCCTTCACTGGAGTGAAGTCACCAGGGAGTTTTGAGAGTCAAAATTAGCATATGGTGTACAGCTTTGTCCTGCAGTAGCTTCAAACACTTTGTTTTATTAGTCTGTAGCTAAACACAGAAAGCCCTGAGGTCCAGTAAAGCAGACTGTGTATTTGTGTTCAGGCAATACAACGCACTGGCCACTTGGCTTTATGAACATACCTTGTTTGGTGTCTAAGGAGGAGTGATGGTTTTCCATTTAGACTGTGGAGTCTACTGCTTAATAATAAATACACTCCTGACATTGTTAAATGATAGCCTGCTTCTAATAAACCCCATGCTGATCCCTGTGTTGGTTAGAGTGGGTAATTCATCTTCCTGGGCTGTTAAAACTTTAGCTGAGATTATAGAGACGACATGAATCAGACACGATCAGCATGTCCCCTGCTGGTTTGCTCATTTTCTCCCCATAACAAAGTGCTGGCTAGTTTTCTCTTCACATTGCAGATCTTGTTATTGGTTGATTTTATTATTAATTGCTCCTGAGGCTTGGGAGGCACATCCATAAGGGATCCACATGCTCTACAGCAAAACACACCCCGGTACTTTCACGCTCACACTTCTCCCAGGCTACTTGATATCAAGTTGTAATCCCTTTGTGTTACTGAGTAGAGCCCGCAGCCACACTCTGAATACACAAGAATGAACTGAGAGCTCCAATTTTTCTCTTTATTTGCTACCAGAAAGAAAGAGGGGGGAAAAAAGTAGAAGAAAGAAAAAAAATCTTATTATCCTCAAATCTAATTACAGCCTCAATAGCTCCTGAGGATTTGGCTTCATGAAGTGGTTCATAAAACCTTCCTTATCATTATGCCCACTAACACCCTTTGGTCTCATGCACTGATAAGGGCTCGTGTGAGTAATTCTAAATTAGCTGATAACATGCCAACAACCGCACGACACTCCAGGCTGTCCTAGAAAGAGCAGCCTCCAAGGAACAACATGTGGCTGCCTGAACAGACCTGGCTTCTCACTCCGTGGGGTCCCACCAGAGGTAACTGAGCTCCCCTGGCTGTGCTGGGACTGGCATCGGGTCCCCAGGAGCAGGAATGGCACACCAGGAAGGGAAGGTGCCGCACAGCCAGGGGAGAGCAGCACACCACTGCAGATCCTCCCTGGAGAGAGGGCTCCTGGGGCCCAGCACAGCCCTGCACTCCTGAGCACACAGGACACCTGATCCAGCAAGCACAGCTCCTAACTCACCACTGCCTCACATTAAGGCAGCTCAAGGCCAACCTTTTCAATCACAGGCTGGATAGCAGACAATCTCTTCCCGCACGTCCACCCACCCACGGCTGCTGCCATCATTATTTGCCACAAAAAGTTGAAGTCAGGTTAAGAACGTGTTCTTTTTCTTTCCCCAGTCCAGTAACTCCTTACAAAATCCAGCTGAGGCACCAGATTTTTCCTTTCCCTTCTGAATGTTTGTGTTCTCAGGCACCTTTTGACAAGTGCCATTAATTAGTTTGTGTTCTCAGGCACCTTTTGACAAGTGCCATTAATTACTGTGATCCATAAACACAGCACCTTTCATTTCCACAGCTACATGCAGCCAAACCAACAGAAGATTTGCTTCCTGCCATCAAAGGCAACAAGCCCAGCTGTGAACATCATCCTGTTTGGTCAGCCACAGTCTTTTCCCCTGTAGTCTCATGGACAGCCTGAGTTGGCATCAACCACTGTTACACTCAACACCCAAGCCCTGATACTTCTTAGATACCCTACAAATTAGATGCTCCAGTACACATCAGGGATACCTATTACAAAAGACCAAGAGACTGGGTGAAGGGAAAGAGGAAAAAGTGGTAGGTTTGTTGTGTTTGGGTTTTTTCCCCTCACTGCTTTTCCCTTTAAAGAATACTGTTTTGCTCTCTGTAAGTTGGCTACCACACAAACAGGAACCAACTGAGGACCAGACTGGAAGGACTGAATCGGACAGAAGATACGAGGCACCAGATCTATTCAGAAAGACAAGAAAGCCACATAGGTGACCTTCCACAGTCACTACTTACTAGGTAGCAGCACAGGCAGAACCTTACAGACCAGCTTCCAGATAGATGGGTTTTAGATCAATGGAAGCAGCTTAGTATCTTATTTACAAGGCCAGTCCATCAAAGTAGATAAAGCTGCCACACTTGCCCTGGTTATATGCTCAGTGTTAACACCACCAGGCCTCCCTAGTCTCTGTAATATGATAGGGAAATATGATACACCTGTCCTGAATTAGAGGAGATAGGTTTATCTCATTTCAGAGCTAACTCACGGATGGGTAGAGATCAGATCAGCTGTAAGAAATTATTTTTATTGTGCGACTTGTTACTCGCAGTAGGGTGAAAACATCTTCAAAGGTGATCTCCTGCACTCTGAGGAATATCTTCTTATCTCTAATGCAGTTTATACAAACCAAATTGGTTTTTGCTTCAAACAGCTTTCCATAGAAGAAAATCAATTTTAAGATGCAATGTCTGCGATCCTTCACGCTGAGGATCAATTGCAAACATACCAATGCATACTCTGGCCATGCACAGCTGCAGAGCAATACCTGTTATCAACACATGGGATGTGTCCAAATCAAGGTTTCACATCCAGGGCACTGACATGCCACTCTAACAGTTCCATTAACAAAGGTGAAAGTATCGTGTGACCAGACAAGCAAATTTTCTTAACCCCTACAGTGTTCTTGGGCAGCCGTTTCAAGCACTGAATCAGTTATCAGTCAAAAAAAATCCCCCCTGAAAGTGCAGGGTGTTGACCTGAGAGGCTCTCTGCACCCCTGGGTGCAGGTGTTTTCATGCTCAGAGTTTGATTTGCCCTTGGTTACTCCCCAGCCTCACACCTCCACATCTTGTGAATCCATCCACCTTGCCCTGCATCAGTTCCTGTCAGGCAGTGCTTCCCACCACTGCCAAACCTCCAGGGAACCTCCTTTTCACCTTGCCTTCTGCACAGGCACCCCCTTCCCCCCAGATCACCTTCCCAAGGATTAGTAAGGAGTTGATAGCAGCCTCAGTATGAGAAGTGCCCTCTCCCAACATAGCTGCTTCTTCTTCTGGTGAGATGACCATTGCTTTTTGTCAGTGGCCTCAAGCAGCTGGAGTCCAGTAAAATTTGTAAAAGCCATCAAAATTGTGTGGGTGTAGGCCAAAAGGGTCAGAGCAGGTGTTAGTAATACCCCTGGATCTGGTTGTGACTACACATAGGCTTTGGGTCTGACTCTGCATTTAGAGAAAACAATCATCCCTGCTACACAACATAGGCTGGATGTCCATGGGGATGATCCAGAAATTGTCAGCAGGATCAGAATTCATGAAAACTGATCAAAGTGCTTGTAACACTGATTCTTCTGAAAACATTTCAAATGCCAGAGGACCATTACAGCACTCCATTAGAGGTGCTGTCAATCTCCATTAGAAGGGACTCACACAACTGCTCCAAAGCTGTGGAAAGGAGGCAGGGTTTTTCTCTGTCTGCTGCAGAGACACAAACACGTGGATCATCAGGTGCCTCCATGACCAGAATTAGTTAGGATCACAAAGAGCATGTTTAACACCTGACACAAGCACAGCTTGGGCCACAGGAAAGTGAAGAGCCTTGTGTTCATTCAGAAAACTACAGACTGGGGGGGACTTTGTTCAGGGGCTGTGTTATAAACTTGTCCCCATGGTGCAATTCTAAGTCACTATGACTCTTAAAAATAACCCTAAATACATTTCTACTGACTTACAGACTCCCAAGCCTTTCACCCTGGGAACAGTCCTAATTTCGCAATATCATTCTTTTATTATATCTATCAGGTGCTTTCAGTGCTCCTTCTCCTTTTTTTCCCTCTTTGATTGGTTGGATGGCTGGTTGGTTTTACAACTGAATTTAACCCTGTGCAGCAGCAATACCTTGTCTGGATGCTTTTTCATGTAAATCACAGGAAAATGAGACATCACTCATTGCGATGGACAGTTGATAGATAATTATTACTCAAGTGCTTGTGCAAAACCCAGCCTTGGAACCCAGTCATGGCTTCTTCTGTACATCACACAGAACCAGTCTGCATTTCCAAGCAGGATCAGAGAAAACAAAACAGCCCCCAGCACCACAAAAGGAGCATTCTTACCTGCAAATTTATGTGTTGCTTTTTGTCAGCTTTGCACTAAAATGCAGCTCCATTCAAAACTGAGACTCTGTTGGAGAGGCAGTAGCTTGCAACAGGTTCCTACAGGGTTCTGAAGGCACCTCCAGTGAGAAACAGAACAGTGGGCATTGAGAAGATATCCATAAATCTGGAAGAATGCCACTGGATTTCAGATGTAAGTCTCAGTGTCAGCTGGACACCCATACCAGGCTTCCTTTAACTCTCCAGCCATCTAAAGCAGCTACATATTAAAACTGGTGCTGCACTGATCACTCAAAATTAATTTAGCCAGAACATTAATGAGCAGCAGAAGTTTCTTCTGTTGCTTGTGTGAAACCTCCTTGACTTTGCTTCCACTACAACTTCTACAAACAATGCTAGCACACAGCTTTTCACAGAAGCTTTTAAAACCTGAAATGTGAGCAGTGTAGCTCATACTGCAGAGCTGTGATCAGGGACTGAGCCACAAGGAACACCAGCCTGCTTGGCCTAGGGCACTGGCATGGGCTGACCCTGTCTGGCAGCTCAGCCCCAGACAGGGGCTCCCCCAGCTTCAACTCCTCCCTCCCTCCCTCCCAACAGGATAGGAGAAAGAATCTGAAGGGCAAAAGTGAAAGAAACTTGTGAGTCAAGATAAAGACAGTCATGAAGGAAAATGAAATGAAACAACCCCAAAACCAAGTGATGCAAAGGCAGTCAGTCACCACTTGCAGCCTGATGCCCACCCAGGCCGAGACCTCCTGTGGCAGAACAGTTTTACCTCTCAGTGTCATGTCATGGTATCAGATGTGTCCTTGGTCAGTCTGGGGGCGCTGTCCCAGCTGTGCCCCCTCCCAGTCCTCTCCCCCAGCCCCAGCCTGATCACAGGGCAGCAGAGTGAGAGATGAAGAAGGCCATGACACTGTGCAGGCACAGCAATAACTAAAACACTGGTGTGTGTTATCAACACTGTTTTAGTCACCAGTGTAAACCACAGGACCTTACAGGCTGTTATGAAGAAAATGAACTCCATCTGAACCAGACACTGTACAGGCAGATAAAAAGGGTCCATGGAGACTGCCAGCCCAGTAGTGCTGGTGTTGCATGCAACAAAAACTAATCCTTGGGCTTTTTCTCTCTTCAAAATACTTGGTCTTCATTAAAAGTTGGGGAAACTGTGGCAGGGAAATGAAGAAAGCTATACCAAGCCACTCCTAGAAACAGAAGGGATTAGCACTCAGGGCTTGTCTTGAACCACCACCAGTTCTCCAGTCTTCATCCACCAGCCCCATCTGGCTGTTGCATTACTGGATAAACAAAGATGTTTGAATTCAGTTTCCACCTCTTTACCACTAAGTCTCTACCTTGACATGTTGTAACCTGAAGTTCCATGCACAGATGATTTGTGGTGTTGTTATCTTATGGTACTGCACTGGTACAGAGAGAAGATGACCACATGACACCTAGAAATCACACAACAACAAGCAGCAACATAAGGACTGCAAGGCTTCCCCAGCCCAACTAAAACCAGTCAGATTTTTTTTCTCATTAGAACATGGATCTCCTTCAAGAGGGAGGGTAAGTGCTTTTTTTTTAACTTCTTCTGAAGTGTTTTGGGGTTGTGGGGTTTTTTTTGGATAGCCTTAGTGGGCTCTTTAAAAGGCAGTAGTAGTTCTAGCCTTGAGTTTCCTGCTCTGAATCTAATTTTCCCAAGGCACAAGAAGTGACTTACCTGGAGATCATAAAGGCTGTCACAAAGCTCAACAGCCAGGATTAGAATCGTATTTTCTACTTTATCTTATGTTCTTTCAAGTCAGTGCAAAATGTTACCAAAAAGCATTACTACCAAATGATGCTGGGGCTTAAGAAGTATTGGCATGGGAGCCCATCTAAATCCCAATCAGTCACATTGTACCTGTTCACAGCATGATAATAATTTGTCTAGGCATTGAAAAAACACAAAGCAAGAAAAGTTCATCTGTTTTCAGTGTATTTTAATAAATGAAACAAACCTGAAGGTATGAGTTGGATTTCAGCAGCAAGTTAACCTTTTCCTTGACATGATGCGAGGTCTCTCTGCAGGGGTGTTAAGCAGATTTGCTAAATGCCATATTGGGGCTAACTCTGGAGATTGCCAGACCATTGCCAGCTTTATATAAAGCTCCCCAGGAGTCAGGCTGATAGTCTCAGGCTTCTCTGAAAACACTGCCGATCCATAGGGATAATCTCATTTCCTGGACCATGAAATAAGCTGTAGCCTAAGGGTTACAGCTGATGGCTGTATGAGACAAAATCACCAGTTTGACAAGTGCTGCTGTTCCCCAGGTCTGTGAGGTATGTGCTGGCTTTTGGGCCTACAAGAGACTTAGCTGAAGTTGGCTGCTGCTCTCTGCTAAGGGACACCATGCCTGACGCCCCCCTCTCCACTGCCTGCCCCCCACTGTCCCCAGACACGTTCACAGTGATCGCTAAGCACATGCTTTGGAACAGGAGGGGTTTGCTCTAGCATTTGTGTTTCCCAAAAGGCAAGAGAGCTGCAAAGCTGGTCAAACAATTCCTTCTTAGAACACATCCCTGCAGGTCCCATGGGTCCATGTGCCTAAGCACACACACATATGTAGTGAGGTAGCTGTTTCTGCTAAGGCAAAGAGCAGTTTAGAGAGCTTTGGCTGTCAGGAGAACGGAGATTTTCAGCTTTGGTGGAAAACAGTAAAGCTAGATAGGCCTGAGGTCCTGCCCAGGGTGTACCTGCCAGGTGCTGACCTTCAAAAGCCATGCCAAGCTGTTCAGCAATTTAAATGTTTGGAATCCAATCGCCAGCTGCTGGGCAGTCCCAGGCTGCAGGCACAGTTCAGGTGTGAACCTGTCAAGCTTCAAGCTCTTGGGAGCTGCTTTCCCTTGTAAACACTAGACAGGGAATTACTACCCCTTGCCGGTCATCACCATTGTGAAAAGTAGATGTGGTATGTCCCTGTTCAATTAAAAACAAGCCCAAGGTCACTGCCCTCCTTTGTGAAATGGGTCCGTTCCATTTGAAGTGCTCCCCTTTGTTTCCTGCAGAGTGGTGGCACAGAAACAACGCCACCTCCCACCATGGAATGACAGCTCTCCAGCCCTTTTGTAACAGAAGCCCTTGAGGCTGGCACCAAGGGAGCCTGATGAGGTTAGTAATCACTGCAGCACATGAAAAGCATTTTGCACCGTGACCTTTTGCACATAAAGAGCTATACTGGTTCTGCTTCTAAAGCCGGGAAGATTTATACACATGGCTTTCTCCCGGCACTGAGGGAGGAGAAACTGAGGCAGTAAAATCCTGAAAGCCAGCAATTTATTCAAGAAGGGATGCTGAGAGCACTTGAAGACTTAAAGCTTATGGTATTTTACCTGCAGTTTGCAGCACAGGAAACAAAGGATAGGATTTTCACTGAATCCTAGCATTTTTAGACAGAAACGATGTATTTTTTTTCCAAGTCACATTGACAGTCCTGTGAAGGTTCTCTTTGAGAGCCTTTACTACAGGAGAGCTGAGTGCACAGCTCCTGGTGATGCACGGCCTGTTACCTGGGGCTGTAGTGACAGCTGCCCTGAAAGACAGGCTGGACCTTCCAGTCTTCTATGACCCCTCCTGAGGCTGTCTGTCCTACTCTCCTCAGGCAGTCACCTCACTCCCACACAGAGCCAGCACCTGATACGATCTCTGGTAAAAGACTTATCTCCAAAAGCTGAGGAAATAACTTCTGCCTGGTCTGACTATGCCAAGTGACTTTGAGAGAGAGTTACATCGTGGCCCAGGCTGCCCTGCTCACAGGTATGAACGGGGAATCCCAAACCTTTCCTTCAGTACATTCTGGGCTACAAGGTAACTGGGAAGCAAACACAGGTAATAACCCCTTTTCCTTTCTTGGAGCAGTCTCTAATTTAATTAAAAATTAAACCTTCACCGTTCCATCAGTAGCAGCACTTTATGGGAGTCCCTTCATCTGTAGTTTGGAAATTGGGAAACATAAATATGACACAATTACCTTCAATTACCAAAAATATTACTTTTATGGAAGAAAAGTGAAAATATTTAAATTAGTCCAGATCTGAAGCAGAGAAGTGAGCGACCCATAGCAGAATTTTAGGGGAGTTTTCAGCAACCCATGGCCTTCAGAGAGGAGAAATAATCACGTTACTGCCTTTCCTCACAGCTTGAGAGAAGTTTATATCCTTTAATCTCACGCAATGAATCCTCTGTTTGCTTGGGCTTTGGAGATGCAACAAGCACCGTGTGCAGTGAGCGCAGAGTAGGATTCCCCCATCACTCGCCGTTCTGATCCACAGCCATCAAGGATTGCTCTGCCTCTGTATACACAACATGGACATGGATCACGTACCAATTCAAATGTGCAACACAGCTCCACCCACGCTGTCTGCAGAAGACAGAAACATCCACAGCAAAGTGCAAAAATAATTCAGTGTCTTCCACTTGATCTCCGGCGATGTTTCTGAGCATCCTTGGCACACCCCACCTTGTGCACCCACCTCGACCCCCAAGAACTACTGAGATGCTTGTTTTGCTCAGCCCAAGTCTCCTTTAGGCACTGAAGACTCTTCTACCTGTGTTTCCAGGGAGATTAATCAATGCTGTGCATGCTGAAGTTCTGTACAGCCCACCGCAGGAGCCCAGGTGCCCCTCTAAAACATTTCAAACTTGTTTTTCTGCCATCCCTCCTCCTTGATCATCACCAGGCCAATACCAGCTGCATGCCTGGCGGTCAACACCCGCTGCTCCACCTGGAGTGCCGTGTCCCGTTTTTATTGGAATGATTCTCCTCCTGTCCCACAAAGCACAGGGACCCCCAATGGTTTGGATTTGAACCCCGTCTGGTGCATCTCAGCCGCGCGTAGCCACGTTCCGGTGCCCGTCCCGTTCGTGCGCATCCTGCGGCAGGTCAAGACATGACCATGTCCCAGCGCTGGCTCATGGCTGTGCTCTCACAGGGGTTGATGACGAGCTCTTTAATGCTCTCGTTCGTGTCCCCGATGGTCTCCGTGTCCAAGCAGAAGCGTGAAGCTATGTGTTCAATGTGTGACCCGACCTTGCCCCAGCGCTGAGGGGAGACACATGACAGAACAAACGGGTGAGCAAGCTTCCTCCCCACCATGCTTTTACTGCTCTGTTCCAGCATCCAGAGGACAGCTGGCATCAAGCCCTTGTGGGCTGATGCTGTCAAGAACAGGGTCCCCAAACCCACACCAAGAGGAGGACACGCTGAGCATTTTTCCCATCAGAAACACACTTATTTAATTTGGCCTCTGCCTGGCTTCAGGAAGATAATATATTACTAACAGCTTTTTCCCCAGGTCACTGGTTCAAATGCCAGCTCAGTGATTAACTGCAGGGAAATGTTAGCATCTGCTGCCTGACTGGCAGCCCATGTGAACTAAATTGCCAGTTTGGGTTTGACTTCTGCATTGAAGTATCCAGATCACCACCCTCACTAATAGACATCCTTATCAACACACTCATTTAAGAGGCAAAGGGCTGAACAGGCCAGAGTCTGTACTCCCAAATTGACAGTGCTACCCAGATGAAGTCAGAGCACGGGCCATTTAATGTGCAATAATACTGTGATGAAAGAAATGGAACTTGGAAGAAAATGTGGGATCAGTGAAAAGGGCTCACCTGCTTGTTGTCACCTTCTTTACAAGGTGACAGCAGCACCTGGGAACCAGGGAAGAGGGTGTACACAGACAAACACAGCTGCTGCTGGCGGACGTGGTGGTTGTACGTGTACGTCCATTCCTGCACAGAGAAGAAAAAGAAAGGTGGTGAGAGAGCAGTGTTGATTCTTGCTATTCTTTTACCTGGAAAACAAACACTTTGGCTTGGATCCTGCCCCTTACAAAATCAAGCACAAACCTCACTGACTTCAAGAGGCATCAGAAGTCACTGGGATGTTTCAAGCCTCCCCAAAATTACAGTTCTCATTGAGGGACTGCAGGTACCAAAGAAAATGTCTACAAAAGCTGCAGGAAGAACGTGTTTCATGAGACAAAAGATTCCATAGCCAGAACTGGCCTGTGGTTGGAGAACAAAAGGATGGGAATAAAGCAGAAGAGAGGCAGGAACACTAATAACCACACAATGTGCAATTCTGTTTTTTCAGGAAGAGAAGCAGAGATGCTTTGCAGCTGTCAGTGGGGGACAAGAGGTGATACATGGCAAATGTCTGCAACTCCTGGGGTTCTGTTCTGAAGTATCACAAAAATAAGAGGTAAAGCTCTGCTTTCTATCAAGGCAGTGGGACCAGATTTCAAAGGTTTGCTGTACTGGTTTGCTATAACCATTGCTACTCCCACTGGGCTGTCTAGGAGGTTTTTTTTCTTTTGCTGCTCCTATATGTTCACCAGCTTTTTATCATCCTCTCAGCCCCAGAAATAAACTTTGGGGGAGCAGAGACTTTTTGTCATGTGATGCTTACCAAACATCAGGAGATCTCTGGGATTACCATCTTTTTCACCAATGGATGTTTCTGGGAGAAAGAGGAGCAGCTGACAGTTTGATGAGGATCCCATGTTAAATGTGCTGGACAAAGCACTGTGGATGTACAGACACACTGCTTAGCCCAGGAGCATTTCACAGAAGTTTACTCCAGCATTAATTCCAGCTGAACATCTTCTATCACCTACCTGTGCTCATATTACCCAAGAGCACCTCCTGAGAGGATCCCAGCCAAGGGATATCTGTTTCCCTGTTACTCGTGTGTGTGCACAAGCAGACAAGAGCTGGTTTGGCTGATGGGAAACCACAAACCATGCTTTTACATAACCCTGGAGAGGGACTTCTGGAACAGGTGTTTTGCTTGTAGCTTTATGTGAGCATCGACTTTGAAATTAGAAAGAGCGGGGCTGGAAGGGTCTTCTGAGGGATCCCAGCCAGGGTGCAAAGCAGGATCCACTCCTGCTGTGTGAATGGCTCTGAGCAGCAGCAGTGGGAGCAGATGGAAAACAGGTCTCTGAGCCCTGGCAGGGCAGGTGAGCAGGGTTGGAGGACCAACAACAGCCTAACTTCACTATCAGAGTGCAATAACCCTGCCAGAGACAGCAAGGCCAGGGAACCAAAGAGTTCCCACAAGAGACCCCAGGAGCCACAGCAGATGCTTTGACAGGGTACAGGCTATGAAAACTCTGAACCTGCTGTGAAAGAAAAGGTGCAAAGAGGAAGCAGAACAGTTGGGAGCTCAGCTATGGAGGAGTCAGAACTCTGTGACAAGTGATGTGAGCAGCAGTGTTGGCAGTGGGGGGAAAGGCGGTGCTCAAACATATGGCTGTGAGGCTGGGACTGGAAAAGTGGGGCTCCTGGGAGACTTCAACCCTTTATGAGTGCTGGAGGGGAATGTGAAGAATGGCTGCCCTGCTCTCAGAGCTGAGATGCCTGCAGCTCGCCTGACTTTGAATGGTGGAGGTTTTGGGTTGCATTAGCATGAGTTATTAGAGCAGGGAAATGCTCCCAGTCCTTTGGTATTTGTCACTGTCAGCAGCTCTAACTTCTCTCCTCAACTTCAAAACAGACAGCTATAGGCATTTAACTCCTGGGAATACAAATCCCACTTTCATTCAGGTTCTTAGCCACCTGGAAGGGAAAACACGCTTTTGCACAGCAGACCCAGCTCCACAAGGACTTCACACTGTGATCCTCATACTCTGTGCTTCTCAGCTCTCTATTCCCCACCAGCTCATGGAAATCAAACCTGGCTTTCTGAACAGCCTGCCCACAGGCTCCTCAGCAAGAGCTGCCCAGGATCTGGGTACGTAACAAGCATTCATTCTCAAAGCTATAATCCACACACCCAAAGGGCCTTCTGGCAACTACTTTTCTTTGTCATATGAGCAGGGTTTACCTGATCCTACAGTGAACACGTTCCAGACATCCCAACCATGCACGCTGTCAGCTGCTGTGTAAACCACCAGCCTGGGAAATCAGGTGCCAAATTAGTCCAGCATCTGTGAAGAACCAAACCCTACAGGGCAAGCTTCAACATCTGTTCTTGGCACCCACGCTGCGACAAGCTGCTTTGAAAACCTGCTTTACATTTTTAACCAATTGTTTGTCATTTTAGTTCAGGATAGGGCTGAAGCTGCACCCATGAGACTCCTCAGCAGCAGCCAGTTAATCCTGTAACTTGTGTATATGTTGAATTGTCCAACTAACTCAGGCCATGGGACTTTTTTGTTTGTTTGTTTTGACATCTTAACCTTCTTGCTTCACTGAGATTATCTCATGGAAGACTGCTCCTACCAGAGGTTCTCCATGATTTTTTTTACAGACCGGGCTATGTTCAAACCTTCACAATATTCACATCCTCTCATCAAGACAGGGCCATCCTCTCATCCTCAGTGGACCATGGGATAGGAAGGGTGGTGGCAACCATTTTCCCTAAGCTGCTGTTCATCATAAGAAGTGAGGGCTCCAGAGCTGGATGTCTGCATCAGTTCCACAGCTGACACTGGATCCTACCCTCCTGCCCCCAGGCTGTCCTTCCACTGCCTTTATCTCAGCTGACAGATTTTCACACAGCTCATCTATCTCGGCAGAATGGCTTTTTATGGAAGCCAGTCCTGTTGAAAATGTTTTATCCAGCTCTAATCATGTCTTCTTCCCTTTCAGCCCTAGATGAAAGCCGAAGAAAATTATGCAGAAAATGAAGAAATTTGAAGGGGGAGGAGGAGGGAAGTCAGTTGAACACCACAGAATCCATGAAGGACTTTGAGTTAAAATACATGCCCATAGCCACACAAATTTTTATCTTACCCCTTCTCTTCTCTTATTTTTATGAGCTGGGATTAATTTATATTTTTTTTCCATGAGGAACTACTTTATCTCCTAAAGCCTGACACACCGACGTGGCCAGCACAGCAGTAACAGCAGCAGAGCTTTGCACCACAGAGGTTGTGGTGGATGGGGCAGCCCATGGTACTCCTAAGGAGCCCTGCAAGGAGCTAGCATGGCTTCAGGGCTGCAGATTTGCCTGAGAAGATGCCATCAGGTTTAGAGCTGACCCAGAACCAAAGACAAACAGATATATGAGGTAAAACTGACATCAAGATTTCTTGCCTTTTTGAAGGCAAAGATGGAGGGGTGGTGGAGCCAGGAAGAAGAGGGTGGGCTTGGAGAAGAGAGCTACCAGCTGCACAGCACAACCAGCAACCCCCTTCCTCCAAAGCCTCAGGTAACACCAACCCCCTCATCTGAGACTTTGTGACTGTTTCTCAAGGCTTTAGCATCATCTGAGCCGGCACCTGTCACTGTTACTCAGCATTATTGTGAACAGAGGACATGATTCTCAAGAGTGACCTTTGGCTTGGCATAGCCTGGCTGGCAGATGGAGCAAGGAGCCCCTCAGCCCGGGAAGGAGCAGTCCCGTGGAGCCCAGCGTTCCGTGACAGCGAGGCCTCTGCTGCCGAGCAAGAGGTCAGCCGTACCCTAAAGCAGGGGCAGTAGCTAGAGAGAAGTGTTTCTCAAGAAAGTGGAACAATTTAATTATCCAATTATCTTCTTAAAATTTCAGGAAAGGACTTCCCAAGGCATGCAACTACGTGAGTGACCTAAGGATACCAAGGTGCTGCCATCATCAAAGACCCTGGGATACAACTGGCCCTTCCACACATCTCAGGAGAGGGAAAACCAAGCACACGAGGTGCCCAGGACAGCCTGGGTGCAGAGATGACACTACTGCTCACTCAGCCTGGCTCCCACAGCTCCAGCCAGCCTACAGCTGGGGCAGGTCATGGCCATGGAGCAGAAGAACGAAGGCTTCTGAGAGGAGGAAGGTCAGAAGAGAGTGTTTATGGCTGAGATGTCACAGGAGGGCCACTTAATTTGGATAGATGCTAAATGGTCTCCCAAAAAAGTGCAGATCCAGTCAGCACACAGAGGACTCAAGCCAATGGGGATGAGCATCCAAGCCATACCAGGAAGATCATCACACTGCCTTTCCTTCCCAAGAAGAGTCTAAGTCATGCCACTCAAATGCAATGGCAGCCACTCAGCTGCAAAGCCCAGGTATTTTGGGGTGCAGGCCCAGGAAATGGATACTGCAGCCTTCTCCCTGTTTCCTCACTTGTCTAAAAAGATGCCTGAGCTTTACATTCCTCTTGCAGCAACTGCTTACACATGTGTTACATCCAGGTCAAAGCATCTTCAGATTTTTTTATCTGAAGTATGTCAGGTTTCCTGAAGCTGCTAATGGCTTAAATAAATCCCAGTCAGATGTCTTTTCCAAACTCTATGAACTAATACCAACTGACACTCGGTTTGAAAAAAGAAACCCAACTACTCACATCTTCATTAGATAGATGAGGACAAAATTATGATCAATTATTTTCCCTCAGATGCATTTCTCTCGTGAAAAACTAAATCAATCTGTTCATTTAGCAAATGAGACTCAACAAGGCATGGAGCGCCGAGTCTCCAGTGGGCAGGAGCACAGGCAGAGCCTGCTGTGCCCTGGGGATGGGCACTGCACAAACATCTCCACCTGCCACTGTCTCAGGAGCCCACAGACAGCGACCCTGGGGTCCTCAACCACCTCAAGATCCCTCTGAGAGCCACCTCAGGGGACAGAGCCCACCCTGACTGCTGCCAGGCCTTCTGGAAGGGAAAGGGCCAAGTGGATTCCCAGGATGAGAAGACAGAGCTCTCCTACACAAAGATGAGGGGTCTTCTTGTGCCTCAGTGCCCCTTTCAGTAATTCAGGACCAACACCAGACACCATCAGGGAGGTTTTCTGAGACCTGTTAAAGGTGTAGGTCTGATTTCACCACTGAGTACCCTCAGTTTACCCAAACTATAGATGTAGCCAAAGGTCTCACAACACTCTTCCCCTACAGGTAGAAAAACCTAAAATAAAGAGCAATTGATTGCCATCTGACAGCTCCTGCACCTCTCTCCTCAAACCATGACAGCTCAGATCTTCTCACACCCAGTCCCAAGCCTTCATGCATGTAATGCTGGTAAAGGGCTGGGGCAGCCCAGCAGGGAGACAGCTACAGAAAGGCAATCAAAGCAACCAAATTACTGTTACTATAATAGTGAAAATAAATAATTTGGACAGGCAGGATATTTCCACGGTACTTACTGAATGCCAAGAAAGCACAGCTTTGATTAAGCTAGGCCTATTTTTCACAAAACGAAGCTTAGGGTAAACAAGACGTGACTTCAGTATGTTAAAAGTGAAGATTATTGCTCTATTCTGGTATATCAAATGCAAATCAAGGACTGCACATAATCAATTCTACACAGTCTGGTGACTGTAACACCCATGTCATCCACAAATTCAGGTGATCTTGTGGCAACTGAATCATTAAAATTTAAGCTTCTATTCACAATAAAAGTTTAAATCCCCTGCTTTAATCTGAACTATTCTCCATGGGTACAAGTAACAAAGAACTATCCTAGAAAGACAGAGAAAGATAAAAAGGAAAGGCTTTTCTCTACTCCTGCTGTGTACTGAGCGCATCCATTCTGCAATCTGTTTGTAACGCATTTTTCTGTTCCTTTACAGAGTTAGTCTTGGATGTGCACAAGAAATGGAGCTGCCATCCAGTGGGAAGTGTTGACCTATTGCAAACTGCTGCAGAACCAGAACAGGAAGATGAAAAGTTCGTGGTGTGAAAAATTCCAAAAATTTACTGCACAGAAATGTCAAAACAAAATGTGTTTGGTGGGAATGAAACAGTCCAACTTGTTGGCATGACATTTCTCATTTTAAAATACCACATCAAACTGGTATTTCAGAAACACCATTTCATTTTGAAACACTAACTTGCAGCAGCATTTTTCATTCTGATTTTCCCAGACTTTTTTAAAAACAGACAATTCATTGGAAGTTGCTATTGTCATTAGAACACTTTTCCTTTCTTCTGAAGAGCTAGCCCTGAAAAACATGATGACCTGCTCTCATCAGCTTGCTTTCTTTGCTGTTTGTGTGAAAAGTCCATGTAGCAGTAGAAGAAAGAAAAACAATTCTGGAACATGGAAACCAGTGAAACCTTAAAAAGTGTTACTGTGTGGCACTTGCAATTATATTAACTACATTTTCTGAAATGACTAATATTCAAGTAGTCATTGTTGATTTTGCCATGCTGTGAAACAGATATTAATTTCCTGCCTACAGACAGGCACACAACTGCATTTGAAAGAGATGCACATAATGACATGCTTTGTTTGCACACACAAATCACAGATATTTTAAGCAGTCTGCCCAAGCTGGGCCTTTTATATGCACAGCTACCTGGTTTGAATGTGTAACCACGAGGGTTAAGGATGTGCAGTGAGTGGAAGTAAGCATACCACACCATTTCCTACTGAATTATTTCATGGCAACCACAGAAAAGCAAGGGATTGTTATCCTCCCTGTTTTCTAGATGGGAACACAGAACTTACTGACATGCCCCAAAATCACAAAAGGAGCCTGAAGCAAAGGTGAGTTTTGAAGCTGTGTGTATCTTTAGGGTCTTGCTCCAGAAACTCTGCTGCAAGGCACATGTGCCTGCTCTTGGCTCTAACATCTCCTAGGCTGTGCTTTTGAGAACATCAATTCATACAGCTTTTCCTCATCTCAATAGGACTGAAAAAACAGATCATCCTCATTAAATCCTTACTAGTTTAATGGGCAATCCAATACTGAGAGAATGCAGACTATGAAGTTACAAATGCCACTGTGACTCAGTCCATTTTGAGATCAAAAAGGCTAAGAGATGAGAGAGAGTTATAATTCTCTTTGCCTTTGATCTGTCCAAATGAGCAGCACGTGGTGTTCCTGGGCAGCTGGAAGAGCTCAGCATAGGTTCCCACACAGATGAGTGGGACACACTGTCCTGTGGCTCCTGCACCAATCCCTGCTGCTGCCCAGGGCCTCCTGGCAGGTGGAGCTGCCAGGGTTTAACAACATGCTGCCTAAGGAAAGACACTGGCAGAATGGCTAAATCCTCCAACAGAGCTTTAGCAACCTTAAGAGATCATCTTGAAGCTGCCCCCATGGCTTCTTCCCATCCAGCATCACAGGGATACACAATACACCTTACCTGTGCCTTTGGTACTGTGCCCTTGCTGCTGTTACAAGGATTTAAGCTCAGGATGGGAAGCTCTTGGTCTTCAGACTTGTGTGATTCCAGGCAGCTCTGTCTTTGCCTGATTATCCCAGTCTGATAGAGCGATTCCTCAGGAATCCTGTGGGAACAGCGTGAAAACATCATCATACTGCCCCATGCACAGGGAGGCTCAGTGGGGTAAGGTTGCACCTTTCTACCTTCAGAAAAGGAGGGGTGGCAAGATCTACCACAATACTGGAGCACTGAGAGCAGCACGTGGACAAGGATGCTGCAGAAGCAGAGCTCAGAGATGGATGGCTGACCTTTATAAGGGGAAAAAATAAATAACTGCACAAGGCAAACAGAGGAGCCAGGAGTAGGCTGTGAGCAGGCTGAAGGTCAGCCTTCAGCTTACAGGAGAGGGGAACTTTATAAAAAACTGTCACAGAGCCCTGGCATTGCCTGTGAATGCTGTGCAATGCCACATATGGGAAAAAAAAAAAAAAAAAAAAAAAAAAAAAAAAAAAAAAAAAAAAAAAAAAAAAAAAAAAAAAAAAAAAAAAAAAGGTAAGAAAATGGCTATAAATCATCATTTTCATACAGTGATTCTGCACTCAGCTATTGCACCAGCAGGTCCCTGAAGGTATCTCTAGAACTTTACCATCCTTTCTGAGGATGGCTCCTGATAGGGACCAGGGGAATGAATGCAATGGTTTCTGGAGTAAATTGGTAACTAAAAGATATCTGTGCAAAAGCAATAATATTTAGCAAAGCACTGGGCTAGAGGCCAGGCAGAACCATCTGAATACAGGTCATAAAATCCTAGAATGAATGGTTTCACAGCAGAGAAGCTCTGAGTGCCACAGTAGTGTGAAAGGAGTGGAAATTAGGTGCTTGTTTAGTAAGCACAAATCATTAAGTATCGAAACACCCTGGCAGAGGCTATGGTGGATTTTCTGCCTTGGGATATTTTTTTAAGGAAAATTCTCATATTTCCCTACACAACCTGTTCCACAGCATGGACAGGAGGACACCTAATGAACTCCCCAAAGCAAATGGGAGTAACTGGTGCTTTGTCCTTCACCAGCCCTGAAGCAAAGAGCTTAGAGGAAGCAGATTTCATAGAACATCCTGAGTTAGAAGGGACCCCCAAGGATCTCCAAAGCCCTCAGTATGTCACACTGTGAGCAAGCTGCATTTAAAGCCAGCACAAAATTCACTCTGCCCTTCTCTGAAGGCCAAGGGAGGGAGTGCCTATGTCTCTGGGGCATAAGAAAGCTCAGTGGGGCAGGAGGGAGGGATGGAGCATCCCACTGGCCTGCTGGATGCAGGTGGAGATTGCAGATCCGTACCGAAGTTCGGGATAAACGTTCTCCAGGTACCACTTGAAGCTGTGACATTTCAACTTCTTCCGCAGCTCCACTCTGCTCTGGACACTGTGGGAAGAAAATATCACAGAGATGCAATGGAAATGATGCAGGTGAGACCCCACACAGCAAAAAGGGAGGCCAAGAGAAACCCATCAGAAATGCAAAGACAGCAAACACAAGAACATCAGCAGCTCTGGTTTCTCTCTGCATGAGCTTGAGCGATTGTTTTGATCTCTGTCTCTTTGGAGGTCTCACTTGGTAAAATGGCACGGTGACATATTGTCATTTTAACGTGGAGTCTGGAGCTGAAAAGGTTCATGGAAAAGCACAGTCATTTAAAGGTGATCAGTAAAAAAATATGTGCTGTCTACTATGTAATAATTCTTACCTGAATATATTAACATATTAGGAAATTAAAATGTTCTATTTGCTATACTAAGTTACTTTTGGTTTACAGGACTA